ACCCACAGAAAAGTCAGTGGGGGGGGGCCCACACAAATGAGATGCAAAAAAATTATTCCTCCAAAACCCCCCAAGCCTCACTAATGTGGCCCCAACTATGCTAATGGGAGCAGGGGACATGGTACTGGGGAAGGGTGCTAGTGGGTGCTGGGGCAGGGGACAGGGTGCCAGTGGGGGCAGGGGACAGGGTGCTGGGGTGGGGAAAGGGTGCCAGTAGAGGCAGGGTGCCAGTAGGGGCAGGGGACAGGGTTCTGCAGCAGGGTGCCAGTGAGGACAGGGGAGGCACCTCCCCCCAGGACTCCTCACCCCTTCCCCCCGCAGAGGAGGGAAGCTCCAGTGCACGCCTCCTCCAGGGACTCCCTGCCGCAGAGGAGGAAAGTCCCAGTGCATGCCTCCTCTGGGGACTCCTACCCCACCCCCCCGGCGTGCCACAGACCTGGGTTGTGGTACCGCGCCAGCTGTTTGGGGGAGGGGGAACAGCCAGCGCACTTCCTGAAAACCCAGAAATGGCATGCAGCTGCCAGACTTCCTTCCACCCTGCAAGAAGCTGGCACTACCTCCATTGTCAATGGAGGTAGGTAGTGGGGCTTCCTGGGGGTCGGGGAAATGGGGGGCCCAGAACACCTTGCGATCGACTGGTTGAGCCCTCCCAATCAACCAGTTGATCACGATTGACGAGTTGGTGACCACAGGTGTAAATTCTAACAGTAAAATTGCTAACTGAACCCAAACGTGTGAAATTTTATAGAACAAGAGAATGGATCCTCAAACAACCACTAAACCCTGTAAACAAATTCAGAAATGTGAGGGTGGTAAAAAGCAATTTATTGTGGTCTGCCTTTGGAATCCATTCATTCACATCTGTTCTCTAGATAGCTCTTTGCCAGATTCCATACCTCCCCTTCCATTTTCTACCATTGACCTCGCTCTCACTCTGCAGCCTCTGTCTCATGCCAGGAGCTGCAGCTTATGCATCTGAGCACTTCTATTTCCGGGGCTTCCTGGGCTCAGTAAATAGGTCCTCGGAGAAACTCACGAAAGATCGGGAGTGGGCTTTCTACCTTCCCCTCACTGATAGGAAGTAGATTGCTAAACCCGAGGAAGTCTCACCCCATCACAACTGGATATGGGAGCTTTGAGACCACCCCTGCTGCCACCATGGTGATGGTTTCCTGAATCTCTATCAGCATGGGGAAGACACGGAAATAGCTGACATCTCTGTGAACACAGAATAGCCCTGTGCACTTGGCATGGCACCGCTGGTCCTGCCCAATCAGTCATCCCGAAACCAATGTGACAGTACTCCCTGAGTCCACCATGGTCTCTATGCCATTCATCTTCACAGGCCGGGTATACTGATGGGGGGCCCATCGCTATTCCTACCAGATTTATCAGGCTGCAGGGGCCTATCAAATCCCGAGATCACACTGCATACGTTCCTCTATATTTGGGCATTGTGCCACTATGTGACCTACCTCCCTACATGAATAGCATCGTTACCCTATTAAGGCATCCCTCTGTTTCTGATGTTGCTGGGCCTTACCCCCTGATCTTCCTGCCCCCGGTCCCCAAGTCCTTTCATGGCCTCCTGCCATTCTGAGCCCAGTCCAAGGCCTCAAGAACACAGGCTCTTGGTGCCGAGGCAGGCTTCCAACCCCGCCAGACTTCTTCCCCAAGGGGTTGAGAGATGCCCTTGGCCATTAACGGTCTCTCTACAAGGGCAACCATCTCATCATAGGACAAGGGTTCATTTTGGCTGACCCATACCCACAAGTCTGGCGGTAGTCCCCGCATATCCCAGTCCAGGACGATGATTTCCACGATCTTTCCTGCGCTGTGGATCTTGGGCTGCAACCACTTTCAGGTCAGGTGGATGAGGTCGCGTAAGTGGGACCTCGGTGCTTTGCCCTCTTAGTATCTCCACTGATGGCTCTGATCTGGCTAAGATCTCCACCTTCAGATGAGGGTATTCGGCAGCCATCTCCTCCAGCATATCAAGGTATGCCTTCTGGGCCTCCCTGCACAGGAATGGAACCAGGAAGCTAGCTCACTGGGCTCGGGGCCAGCCTTCCCTTAGGGCCGTCCTCTTAAAGGCTAAGAGGTATGCCTCCACATCGTCCTTTCCCGTCATCTTCTGGAGACAACTGCTGGTGCACAGGATGGAGCCCCATCTTGGCCATGCACCTAGGTAGTCAGGGACTTCAACTGCATATTCACCTCCAGAAGGGTAGCTCGGTCCTGTGCAGCCTGGCTCATTAGCAGCTGATTTTTTTTCTGCTTGCCTCAACCCTAGTAGTTTCCTGCTGCGCTGCAGTGGCTTGTATGAGCACCTTCACCACGTCCTCCATCTTGTTTTCCCTCTTCTTAAATGGTCAGCCTAGCCTGACCCGGGTGGGTCCACTGTGGGGTCTCACAGCTGCAAAAGCATCCCACCCCTAACACCACATGTGGCAGGGTAACTCCACTCCTGGGTCCCAGTACCCTACTCAGCCCTTCATCAGGCAGTCTCCGTACTGCATTACTAGCCCTTGGCTGGGTTTAAGCTCTGATCCCTCAGCCACGAAGAGCATTGGAGCCAATGCCCCAGGGTCAGCCTGGGCTGCCAAAACAGTCCTTTCCAGCTCTCAGCTGGGATCTCAGGCTGCCTGGAAAAGATGGACCTAAAACCCCTCTTTGGAGCTCTGCAACCCCACTTTGATCTTTCTGGCAATGTTCCTGTTACCTTTCTTAGTCTTCTTAGATCTCCTCTCACTTCACTTCCTCTCTCTCCTCTCCCTGCAAGGAGGGCTTACTTTAAAAGGCTCCACAGCAGCCTCAGGTGACATCAGCTGGCCCTGATTAATTAACATCAGCCCTATCTCTTTTGCTTATGATTGACCAGGGCTCTTGCTGCCTTAAAGCTGCCTTTCTCTCTCTTAGTTATAGTACTCCAGCCTGACCCTGACACATTTTCCATATACCTGGGCTACAGGCTTTGTTTGGAACCGTAAATTTCCATGCCCATGGCAAAGGATATAAAAGACACAAGAGACAACTCCATTTTGCCTCTTTCCTGTTTTAATTTTCTGGACTATGAATTTGCAATTACTGTAAAAGAAGCATCTTGAAAATATGGACTAAGGACCTTTCAATCTTTCTGAAGGTTAATAGATACACTTTTGAAAGCCAGCAGTCTACTCCATCACTGCTACAAATCTGATATAAGGACTTGAAATCAATTCCATATATATGAGGACACGTCTAGACTACGCTCACCTTCCAAAAGAAGATATGCAAATTTGGTGCAAATTTGCATATCTTCTACCAATCCCTTTTTCAGAAGAGGTTTTTCGGAGAAAAAAGCAGTCTAGATGGGGGGGTTGTGCAGCCCCTTTCCCCCCTTTTTTTGAAAGAACCCTTATTCCTCAAAAAAAAACTGTTCCAAAAAAAGGATCAGAAGAAGATATGGAAATTCACACCAAATTTGCATATCTTCTTTCAGAAGCCAAGGGTAATCTAGATGCGCCCTGAGCTATTAACCATTTATAACTCTATTCTTTGTTTTATTAATAAATCTTTACTTTGTTGACTAAGGATTGGCTAACAGTATGATATTTGGGTAAGATCTGAGGTTTACAATGACCTGAGGATAAGTGTCAGGTCATATCCTCTGGGATTAGTAAGAAACTCACATATGCTGAAATAGGTTTTCAATAATCTCTCACTATATTAGAAGTAGCTGTCTGGGTACAAGCCAAAGGCTGGAATGCCTAAAGGGCATGGTGTTTGGCTTCTGGTTAACCAATATAGTACTGCTGAAACGTTTTTGTTACTGGCTTGATGAATCTACTTACAGAATAAACTACCAGTTTTTGAGGACTGTCTGCCCTTTACCTTGCAGCCTGCCCTGAGTGTGTCATTATTAGTATAGTCCTTCCCAGATACCCAGTCACACATGGTATAATACATAAATATTTGTGGAAATAGAAGTAATATATACTGAAACATCTAAATGCACTTGGAAGTTCAAAGAGGCACATTACTAGCAGTGCTTCTGCAGAGGCAACGCAATACTGGTGATTAAAAACCTAGGAAAAAGAAGGTATCAAAAAGCCTGACTCTTGCTGCTTGCCTTTCAATGATGGAGCACAGGTCAGAGAACTTTAAAGGTGAAGAACATATCATATGTTATATTTTATCATAAGAGAATCAATAGATGTTCTAAAAAGGGGTAGCTTTAATTATACAAACCATCACTGAAAGTATGTGTAGAAAACTTACACAAAATAGGAACTTGCAATCTTACCTTTACCATTAATCTATATAGCTTCATAGGAACAGCACAGAATAACTACTTTTCTGCTGATGGCACTATATATTTAATCATGAATAATCTGAATAATTAATAACTATATCTTCAATCATTTTATAACTGAGAAAGGAAACATTAATTATACTTCAGATATAACTAAACATTTTCAAATTGTTCATTTCCTAAGGATGGGTTTCTAAGGAAAGTAGCTGACAGTACAATTCCAATTTATTTCATGGTAGGTATAATAGAGAATATTATCAAATTTAAGTGATGAGATTTAATAGCAAGTCTCCTTTTAGTTTTCATGGAAATAGGGTATAAAATATGTCTCCATGTACATATTTATACTTTTCCAACTATGCTCAGAAATGGTGCATTTCCCTCTTCAGTAAAGGATGCAGAATGCATTTTGACTGCTGTTGAAAAAAAGTATTACAGAATGTCTGACAAATAAGAAAACAGGTAGTGGCAAATAATCATTTTCCTCAGCAGTAATGTGAAGGAATGCTGCATCAAGGAAATTATAAACTACATCCAGATTCTTATTAGTGTGTTTTCCTACTTCTTAGCAGCCTCAGACAGATACAGCAAGACAGAATTCCTGTTGATAATGCCAAACTTGCTCCAACACAGGTTACACTATTATAAGCAAAATATTAAGTGCTTTGCTGTAAATTGGTGAAAATAAGCTTTCAGGTTTACTTACCTGATTCTCTTCATGAGAAACTCTCATCTGTTCTTTAAGAACTGACATCCTGGCAGCTTCTTCTTTCCTCAATACTCTTTCCTTTTTTAGCTCAGGACTCCAGAAAGTCTTGATGCTATTCATGGAAGATCCCAGCTTACTGTCCTTGATATCCAGTTCTTTTCTCAGAAGATCATTTTCTCTTTGTAGTTCCTTGAGCTGAGCCTGTAGATCTAGCATGGTACTATCCCTAACCTGTCTCAGCATAGAGGGAACTTGATGGTGATGATGATGTGAAGATGTGGTCAGACCTCCATGCTGATCAGTGTACGAAAGGACATCTGTGTGAGAAAGTCCAGCTGAAGCAATATTTGGACTACTCCCCATAGCTGTGACTCGACCACCATACACAGCTCGATTTGTAGCCCTTCCAAGAGTCATTGTGCCCTTTGGGAAAGTAGTAGAAGCTACACCTTCATGGTCACTAAGATACATCGGTCCAGATGTTGCATAGGCTGCATTAAGGGACTGGATGTTCTCCATTGATAGTGTCTTACCAGTTCCTCCACCTCCCCCACTGCTTGTTCTCCTGTGGCCCAGTCGAGGAGATCTTGGCAAACGAGGAGACCGGGAAGGACTGCCTTCCAAATTACTGATTGTTCTTGCACTTCCATACATTTTTCTACTACTGTGAGGTACTACTTAATAAGAAATTAGTAACACTGATGTTGGATATTAAATCTGTAAATCCAGATAATAATGTTGGCAAATGGTTTCAATGCATTCTTCAAGTAGGCAAAAACGGATGACTTCTCAAAAACTGAAGATCTGAAAAAAATCATTAGAGTTGAGTAAAGTAACAAAACAAATACAACATACAGTCACTTTACAATAATTAAAGTGTCAGACAGCACAGCATATATCAACTGGTCTAGGAATAATTATTTTAAAAATAAGAATAATAGTGTATTTTACTATTACATATAGGATTATTATTTGTGAATTACATTTCAAATGGAGAAACTATGCTAAAACTATTTTTGGCATTTTGACTTAGTAACACTGTGGGCCAAATATATCCCTAGTCATTTAAATCCATTCATTTAAATCAATAATCACAATGAAATTATGTCAGGGATGAAACTGTCTGATGTCTACAAAAAATAAATTGAAACCAGACGTTAAGAATGAATTTGCAAAACACAACATATCTGTTTTCCTTTAACAACATTAATAAATACCACATTGTTGGTGACATGATGGGGACTATGAAAGGGGAGTTAAATACTGTATAATGCAGTACTTCTGATAGTTCAGCTTTAGCAGTAGAAACAGATATTGTTAAGCTAAAGTTCAAAGTTTAAAATAAGACAGTTTCAGAGAATAATTGTCTTTCGGACAATTAGCAATTATTATTAGAATGATAACAGGCACTATCAACTACAGTTTTGCTGGTATTTGTTGTTTGTCTACTTCAAGGGAAAAATAATATTATTATGAATAGTAACTCTTTTTTCAAGTAAAGGAGGGCATGTCAAATCTTTTCCACATTTGGTATCGTTATGGCATTTTTGTAGTAGTCTTACCTTTAATTGGTTTAAATAATCAGAACAGTTAAAGTTACTGAGAATTTTATAAGGAATCTAATACCAAGAACATATCAACCATATATATCTGTTATCTCCCATAACTGTGAGCCTTCACTGACCAGTTTTTAACCAACAAACAAGCATTCCAAGAAAGTTGTGAAATTAAGAAACTTGACCGTGTTATCTATCTAAAATCATGTCTTAAAAAGGTGATCAGTTCAGAGAAGCAGCACACCAAGTTTAAGTCACTTAAATGTAGCAATTTTTAAGCATTTCCATAGTATATTACCACTACATACAGGTACCCAATTCTTTCATGTCCATTTTATATTTATATTGAGGGTTTGGGGGGAGGGTGACTGGATAGAAGGGGGAGGAATGTAAATATTCTTAAACCAAGAATAACAGCTAGCATATTAAATCATTGCCACTGTGTCTGAAGCATTTGAGAAAAAGCAATTACAGACGTTAGTGCAAACAAAGAAAAAAACAAGACCATATTTGCAGGAGTCCTTATCTATCTTTATACAAGAAAAATGTACCATTGGAAAAACACTGTAATCGCTAAGGGTATGTCTACACTACAGCGTTATTTCAAAATATCTAATTTCGAAATAGTTATTTCAAAATATCTAATTTCAAAATAATGCATCTATACACAAAATGTGTCCACACTGATTGGATTCTGAATCGCATTTAAGGCCAGCTGGAACTGGTTCCGGCAGGGCATCAGGTCAGAAGTTACCTTGTGGCCAGGGCGGCCAGCGGGGCACCCTGGGAAGAGCTATTTCAAAATAAGCATCTACACAGTGCTTATTTCAAAATAGCAATTTTGAAATTGGCGCTATTTCTCGTGGAATGAGGTTTACCAATTTCAAAATAAGACCTCTGCTATTTCGAATTAATTTCAAAATAGCAGTTGGCTTGTGTAGATGCTAGGAAAGTTATTTTGAAATACCGGCTGTTATTTTGAAATAACTTTGCTGTGTAGACGTACCCTAAGATATGTAAATCATCCATTACCTGCTACAAGTGTCTTCCAATTGTTTTACATGGATTCTAAACAACTGTTGAGAGTAAACTAGGTCTTCAATAGGTCTGTGAACCAGCATAGTGTAAATCATTTCAGTCTGAACTATTTCATTGCCAGAGTGGATTTGGACATGCTGAAACATTTCATTTTGGTCTCCTTGGTACTATTCTTCAGTGTATCAGTGGCCTTTCAAATACTTTAGAATCCAGTTTTCATGAGAGTTGCATCAGCAACTATAGAAATAGCACTTAGAGGGCTATGCAATGGACTTGGACCAAAGTGCAAGATTCTGATGACTTTTAGTGTGGCAAAAATGGACACACTGAACTATTGGTGCTGAAACTGTTAGCAGTTCAAATTCAAATAGCTCTCTTCTCTAGGGCAAATACAGCCCTAAGCAAACTGGATCAATCAGTGCTAACAAAACATTGGTTTGCATTACCAATTTAATGAGAGTCACTTTTTCCTGTTTGGTTTGTATTTTCCCCAGCAGGTAAAAGGCAGTTCTATTTTCCCAAAATACAGATATTTCTTCCATGTAGAAATAAGCCTCAGTTTTGCATGATGTAGCACAAGCATCATCCATTCTGATGAATACTAGAATTTTAACTAAGCAGACATTATTGGTGGGAAATAATGCAATGCTTTCTTGCTGAAGTATTCTAGTGACTTCCAATGAAGTCAATGGGAACTACTCAGCTGGAAGGAGAATCAGGGCCCTGAAGTAATGCTGAAACATTTTAAGTCATATAGGCCATAGCCTTGCCTAAGGAATCAAACCCTGAAACCATCTGGAGTCTTCCTGGATTCTAGTGGAATGAAGGCAAATACAAATTCTAGAAAAGCCAGATACATTTTCCATTAGTTCTTAAGTGACTATTATCCCAGTATTTGGGTGCCTAAACATACCCCCAGTGAAAAGACAAAATCCATGCCTTCCCAGCTCCAATTGCCACATAATATTTGATTCACTAGGATACAAATTATTTCTGACATCTCAGCTCCAAAACAGTCAGGGAGGCAAAGTAAGGACAACAGAGAACACACAATGCTTCACGACTATTGCAGTTGGGACAATTTGATCCATTCTCATAATTCCCCAATTGTTCAATCATCCTCTACCACATTTTTTTAATATAGTCATAGGTCTCTGAAAAGCTCTACTTCCTCATAACAGCTTAATAGGGGTACATCTACACAGTAGTGTTATTTTGGGACAACAACATAACATAGTTCGCATCTATACTACCAGCAATTATTTCAACATAAAGTCAAAATAATGTCGAGCTGGAGGACATCTTACTCCAGCTCCTATAACCCTTATTTCACGAGGAGTAAGGGAAGACGAAAGAAGAGGGTTTTTCCTTCAACTTTCTGCTATGTAGACAGTGCCAAAAGCCAAATTAAGCTAATCCAATTTAAGCTACGCAATTGACGTAACTGAAGTTGCTTAACTTACTTCAAGTTTTCCCTGCTGTGTAGATATACCTAGGTGTGGAATGAGACTCTGTAGATAGCAACTCAAAGGCCAGGCAGCTAATCTGTATGTGATTCCCACCACCAAGAGCAATGGTAAGACAGAAGATGCAATGGTAATAGATTACCAAAATCCTAAGTATGGCGTAAACGAAGCTTACTTAAAAGCTGAAAATGTGGGAGGTTGAGACACTGGTGAAGTTGTGTATCAGAGAAACACAGGACTAACCTACAGCATATCAGGACCACCAGTGCCACCATTTCTACCACAATTTAATGTGTATGATTTTTATTTTTATTTAAGTCACTCATTACACTACTTAGCCATCCTTTTTTAGCTGTAGTCTGTTCAAAACCTTCCCTCTCCAGCATGTGTGAAGTCTGTAAGATTAATGACTATAAGAGATCAACACTGTATTTTTCACTAATCCCTATTGCTGACCTTATGGAAAGAGGCCTTAGTTTTCCCTAGACTTCTCCTTTACTGCAGGCTTTTATGATATGTTCACATTTCTGATGTAATAATCTAACCTTTACATGAAAGTTCCAGAAACAAGAAAAAATATGCAAAGCAGCAGCAACTGAAATATTACTTAAGAAACATCTGCAGTTCATATGTATTTTAATTTGCAATCCAATGCATATCTTCTTTTAAATTATACAGAGCTGCATGCAAAATGTTGCCAGCTTGAAATGCAGCATACAAAAAAGTGTTTCCTCACATGAAAGCAGACCAACTGACCGTGGGCACATCCTGTCCCTTTCTATATGGTTATGAAGAGCCTCCGATGCAGTAGAAGCAGTTTAGAATTACCACACAGAGGAGACAAGAAAGGTTTGGGGGACACCTACACAGAGGGTCCCCCCTCCAGTGATACATATAGGCTAGCTCCAAACGGACATCCTGTGTCCACCAGCTATCAGAATTCAGGGGCTGGTAGGGGACCCTTATTTCAGAGCCACAGGAGCAGCTAGCCCTTAATCTACTGGTACTAAACTCAGCAAGCAAGCTTGGCTGAGGAGGAGGTACATACAGAGGATTTAGACCCTGGAAATTAAATTCCATCTATTGTACAATGTTTCTCTTGAATAAATGCTATCAGCACAAAATTTAATTAATCTGGAAGCAAACACTTCTGACCACCATCCCTCAAGTATGGCATGTCCTAAACCAGAGCAAAACCAAGGTCATTCTAGTGCATGGAGGCTAGGGAGTAAGACAAAGGGAGATCACGCCAATGATCAGCATCTCCTGCATATCATCTTAGGGGAGGCTTTAGGGACAAAGTTAGGGGATCCCCAATTACATGCATCCACTAAGGATGTTAAAATGCGGTTAATTGACTAGTCGATGGAATTCCATTGACTAGTCAATAGGCACTTCTGCATTCCTCCTTTGAAATGTACAAGAGCCCCTGCTGACTCTGGGATCCATGGCTGCCCCTTTGAATCGCCACAGAGGAGGCATTTTAAAGGAGGGAAGTGGCTGGGCGCCCCTGCCACTTTGAAGTACCCCTTCTCCCCTTATTTTATAGAGGCAGCAAAGGGGGGGAGGGATAGCGACTAGTCAACTAGTCAAAATACTATCCTATAAGCAAATGCTTAACGGATAGTTGACTAGTGAACTAGTCTTTTACATCCTTACCATCCACCAGCCACTGAAGCTACAGAGCTTGCAGTAGCAGGCATAGATCAGCTCCAATATAGCTAAGTGGACTGGTTTGGGAGCA